AAAAGTGGTTCACACAACTGTTCATACCCGAAAAATAAATTGCCAAATGATTTGGACGATAATGCACAGCGTCATTTATTATACATCTATCTATATAGATTGTATAGCGCCTTTGAACACTGTTCCAAAATATGCCTCAATATGTCATTTAAGTTATTGCCATTAGTTATTATTATTACTGTTTTCTATAATGTCGTGCAGTTAGTTTTGTTTTATAAGAGGCTATACGGCACCGCAAAGACAATATTAATAGTCATATTTCTAAAATGAGACCCCTGAAAATCCGGGTTAAAATTGGTCTTCAGCAGCTCATGCTTGTCGCAAGAGGCGACTAACGGGATCAGGTGGTAAGGCTTGCTGACATGATTGATGCATGTCATCGTATCCCAATTGCATAGATCGATGCTCATGATGTCATTGGATTGTCTGGTCCAGACTCGGTTATACAGACCACCGTCATATAGCTGGAATATTGCTGAGTGCGGCGTTAAACAAGGAAAGAAAAAGGGATCTAAACAATGATACAATATGTGAAGCCCATGTCTGGTGTCCCCGGCGTGATGTTGCTGGAATATTGCCAATGGCGGCGTAAAACCACTCATGCTAAGCGATAAAGTGTCGCCAGATAGACCCCCGTGCTTTATGATCAATCCACAAATCGTCTGTCATACATTTGGGGGACAAACGTCAACATTATATTGAGACAGAACATTTGCGAGATACATATAAACATATCTTACACTAAACTGAAGGAACAAGCAAAATCATTTGGCAATGAACTTTACGCCAAATCATCATGTCCCAATACCAGATATATATAGACAGACATATTATTAGGCACTTAAGGCCGCATAGCCCATTGTTCAGTTACATTTTTAGTTCAGTTACATTTTTGGTTCAGTTACATATTTAGTTCAGTTACATTTTTAGTTCAGTTACACCTTTTGGTTCAGTTACATTTTTAGTTCAGTTACATTTTTGGTTCAGTTACATTTTTAGTTCAGTTACATTTTTGGTTCAGTTACACCTTTTGGTTCAGTTACATTTTTAGTTCAGTTACATATTTAGTTCAGTTACATTTTTAGTTCAGTTACACCTTTTGGTTCAGTTACATTTTTAGTTCAGTTACACCTTTTGGTTCAGTTACATATTTAGTTCAGTTACATTTTTTGTTCAGTTACACCTTTTGGTTCAGTTACATTTTTAGTTGTTACATTTTTGGTTCAGTTACATTGTTAGTTCAGTTACATTTTTTTAGTCACTTGAAATATAAGATATACATGTGACTGAGAATAAATGTTTTAACAACATGGCTAGTGAACGTGTAGCATCGGTGTTGTTGGATTTTATAAGATTAATCATTAACATCTGTTTTTTATTAACATTGTTAAAGTTCGGAATATACTTTTCTCTAGGATGTTCATTCTTATCACATACTAATAAAACATTAGGTTCATCCTCCACCTCTCCTAATTGACAGTTTCTACAAATACTCATTTGAACTTCTCCACGTCTGTTCTAAAGTAGATTTAATATCATCTCTTCAGATTACAAGCACGGGGTGTATGATAAGCACAAATTTGACATCTTTGAAAATTTGTTGTTTTACGCTGAGTTATTGCATGTGATGGGAACATGTCTAGTACATGAGGACTACCTATACCATTCATAACACGTTTGGAACGACCGTTTTCGTCCCGTTTGATCTACACGCTTTCAGATATAAGAAAAAGTTTAACAATAAGGCTGCGTGTATTATTTTCAACACGTGTTTTGGACGTCTTACGACGATAATTGTAGAAGTAATGTGTAAATGTTTCAAATAGGCAACTTACACGGGCGACTCCTAGGAGTGTTTTTTCGGGGGGGTTTAACATCAGCAAATCTTTCACTCAATATGTATTTTTCATTTTTTGTCTTAACTTATACATTTTGAGGGAGAACCTGCTCTCCTAAAAAAGCTTGAATCAAAGAGTGTTTAGCTCATTTTAGCCGCACCTTATAACTTTGGAGTGAAATTGTGAAAGTGATAAAGGAAAACAAGCTACAGTTTTAAATTATGTGAATATAGTATGAGGATTATAGTCAATATTTTGACATTTTCCATAACATTGATTGTGCCAGTACAAGTTGGCCCAAAATGGCCTTTATCCCACCTCTTCGTTTGTCACTTCTAGCGGGCCAAATGGGTGCTTATTGTATACTTTGTCCCGTCAAGATTATTGAGAATGCGTACTTTAGAAGAAAACAACGTGTATCAGAAACACGCCCAAGCGTCAACACATAGCTAATTTGAGAATAACCAACGAGCGACAAAGATTTACGGATTGTCTGTCCCGACTGAATGAATGGTGTACGCCCCAAGCTTTTAGCGAGAGACTTGCATTCAGAATTGCCTTGCCTTTGCATGTGTTTGTGACGGGTGCCACCGGTGGTGCAGGATAAGCTCACCTTTTCGCGAACACGTGATATCGCTATTTGATAGTGATCCATGATTAATAATCACATGCTTAAATCGTACGGTGTACTCTATTTTTAGCAGAAATTAAGGGCATATTAGGATTATTAGATTGAGGAAAGAGTTTTGTCGCTTTTATCTACAACAGTAGGTTATTCTATGCATGACTCATTGTCAGTTTAAGAAAGAAATTAAAGAAAACAGTATGAAACGACACGTTAAAGTTACTTTGCTAGGACCAACTTTCTGATCGGAAATGTTATTTAAAAAATAATAGTGTAACGAGTGAATATTGTTTTGCGCCGCATTTAGCAATATTCCAGCAATACGACAGGGGTGGGGGGCTGAAAAAACGTCATCATAACGTCGCTTTAACAGACCAATCAGATTAGAGAATCGGTTAGTCGTCTCAATCTTTCGACAGCCTTGTAGACAAAAAAGTGTGAATGAAACAGAAGCAATAATGTTTGTAATATTCACGACATAAACTTCTTATGAGGTCAATAAGTAGACCAGTAATCGATCACTAACTACAGATTATTAGTTTAAATTATGACATAATTTTCCTGAGCGATCGGTCCAGTTCGTTTTTGAACAATTCATCAAAGGTATCTTATATTCCTTAAAAACAACCCCTAAGCTACACACACCCTCGACGGCAACAAAGCATGTGCGATAAATACTAAGTGTATGGGACGGTAACCTCGATTCTCTTTCCAACAATAACTTCGCTCATACACCATCGCCTATTCGTTGGTACGTTTGTATTACAACATATTAAATCATGGGTTTAAGATTTAAAAATGAATAATCACAGCAAAGCAGGTCCGTTGTTTAAAAAATACATCGAAAAAAATCGCAGGCATTAAAGCGTTTTATCACTTTTTTTGCAAAAATCCGTTTCCACACGATTATGCTAATTCTAATTTTACAATTATTCAGTCGAGTGTGTAGTCGGGGGGACCTAAGGTCGGGGGAGAAGGAGTAGTGTTTAGAGAGTGCTAGTTATGCCTCCGGTTCTAAGCATTCAGTAGGCTGATTAACGTTTTATTAATGAAGCTTCGTCGGTCTCCCGACTCCAAGTAGCGTTCCCCTGGCGGGTGGCGGGAGAGTCTACGTACTTTGTCCCTGGTAATCACAAGCTAGAAATAAGTTTGCCTTGGGCGTTGAAGCTGTACAAAATTTGGGTAATGGAAATTCAAAGAATCCAATCAAAGTCCCTTCGCGGAGTTTTGTCTAATAAAATTTTCTTAAATGTTCTAATTCAATATTTGCATGGGCAATGGTTATTTAAGATAAATTATTTGCAGGAAATTTTTAAAGTTGGGCAACGTGATAAATGGTTTCGTTTACAATTCACGCCGCAAAACCGGGTTGTGTTTGGACAGGGACGAAGAGATGTCAGGGCTACTCTTGTTGGAGCCTGACCATGTAATCAAATATGGAATTTGGACATGAATAATCACTAATTTCATTGTAGCCGTTCAAGCAAGTATTCGGCCGTTTTCCAAATCACAGAACATCAGTGTTTCCTGGTCTTCTCTCAACTACCTATGATGACATTGGTCTGCTTGATACTCCGATTCAATGGAATAGTGCTACACCCAAACAATTTGAGAATGGCCGCAAACGTCCATTGCGCTTATAAGCTATTTTTTCTGAGCATGTGCACATATGTGGGATTATCCTGGGACATTGTGTTCATACCTGAGACTCCTCCAAGATATTACTGAGAGTTGCCTGGACATTGACAGATCCAGGTATTTCCTGGGTGACTATGGCATACAACAGCATTCATTCATTCCAGTTGACATGACAATGAATGACCCAAACCCCATCCTCCACAGAGATCCCTACCCAAGCCTCTTAAATTTCTTTTACAAAATTACAAAACATTAACTCACCCAGTGAAAAAATATGTTTTGTTCCAATTGAGCAGAAAACAAGGACTTTGACAAACACTGAGATTCTTGTGGTGAGTGAGTTGGGTTTAACACTGGTTGGAACCATGTTTCAGTTATGTCACATCATAATATTGGATAAATACCATTGATCAAAGTTGTGGATGTTCTACCACCTTGGTGGCATGAATAAGGTGCTGACAAACCAAGATTTGTGCAAATCTGAGATTTCAAACACGAAGTCAGCAGATCCTGCAGTAACTAAGGAATCAAGTTCACTGTCAAATACAGCCCTTGTGGGTTTCTTAAAGTAGGAAGTATGGTTTTATGCCACTCTTAGCAATATCAGGGCAATGTCAGGGTGGGGGCACACCAGACTTCTCACTGTACCCAGTAAAGAATCAAACCTGGGCCTTCCACGTGACAAGCAAACATTTTAGCAACTAGGCTTCCCCACCTGTTTCTTAAAGATTGAACCATTCCAACAACATGGTAGTGTCACTCTTGGTCAGTAAAAAATAATACAACATGTAAAAAATGACATAAGAAAATATAATAATTTGTCTTGTACTAAAATCCTCTTTCCCTCATCCCCAAGAAATAATGAGGTACATCCCTTGACAATAAAACAAGAGACTGAATTATTCATTTAGTTTTTAATGTGTAAAACTCAAATGGAAGTGTACATGATCATTAAAATGAAGAGGCATGACATATGTTTGACAAAATGACATCTAGATATATACAAAGACTGCTGTGGTCAGGGTGTCATGACATACATACAAGTGAAAATACAAACTTGTGTTACAGACAGGAAGTAGGGGGAAACTGGATGAAGTTGGGAGGTTCTGGATGCAAAATAATAACATCTTCATAATTGTTAAATCAGCTGAAAAGTTTACCAATTCACATCAGTTTTTTTCATTTTTAATGAAGTGAATCAAGCATCAGCCAAATCTTTTAAATACCAGAAAAAGGTTCTGAAACATTGAGACAATTAGTCTATCCATGATCATGAAAATTGACACCGGATTCCTTAAAAATAGTGAGCTCCCAGACTGAGACATACACGTCCCCCTTTACATGGCAGTATCACGGGTATCACACAACTTGACTCAGCGTCCGACATTTGTTGCAATACTGATGTTTGTTATGATTAGATTAATGTGAGACAAGAGTTTATGATGTCCTGTGTTTTGGTAACTGATGAAAAAAAAACAACCAATAATCATTTGTCGGTACTGCCCTACAATACGCCATCAGTACAAGGAGAATAATGTAGATGAATGTCTCTCCTTGGGTTTCAGCCTGTTAGCTCCACAGGTGGGGATCCCAACAGCCTGGATGACATAATGGTATGTGTGAGTGAGTGAGTGGACTGGAGTTGAACGTTTCATGTGTATGAAATGGTTGGTATGTTATGGTATGCTTTTCATGTAGACATTACAGCCAAGGTAGGTCACTCAAATTCCACAGCGATTCTCCTAGATGTTATCCATCTAGACACAATGAGTCTCACCTAGCACTCTGTGACCTGTCAATACATTTTAGATGAAGCATGACATGTCTGTATGTGGATGAATCTATGGTGAAAATAGCTGTCAGAAATACCCCTGGAGCTTGACATCCATTATCTGTGTTTCATCTTCATCAACAATTTCCCATATCTTCCAAAATAACATAAAGATTCAAAAACAAAAAATATTCACACTATTACTTTAAAACATTTTTTTGTTAAATCAAGCTCATACTAAAATTTTGAAACTTCATATTTAAAAAAAATTTAAAGCCATCCTCCTGAAGTAAATGAATCAAAGATAGGATCGGGAGCATGCATCAAAATTACAGTTTGATGCAGATAAAAAATCAAACAACCAGTTCATTAGACAAAAAGGACAATTCCAACCTACATTCATGGCTAACTTTAAAAAGAACTTTACAAATGGAACCGCCCAACACACAAGCTACTGGGTTGGTCATAGGATAGTGAAATCCTTGCAGGAGTCAATGATGAGAGTGCCAGGACATTCACTTTCTGCTCCGTCTTTCACTTGTATCGTAAGTCAAGAAAAAGTCAGGCATGCTTGTAGGAAAAAGACACACTGAATGCTTTTCCATTTACAAACACCTGAGCCTCAAGTATGGCAGTAATGTTTTTTGTTGCCATGGTAACCACTGATCCACAGCTGTATGTGCAAAGATGATTCCCTCAGATTATGTGCCAAGATCAGTTGTAGATGAAATTGAATCTGAAAAAAAAGAAGAAAGCACATATTAAACATGAGACGCAGAAAATATACTTTTTGACAAGACGTCATGAAATTAACATAATAACAGTTAATATGTCATATTACAAAGATGAAATACAGAAAAATAAAAAATATTATGCACCATGCCTAATTAATGTCAGCAGGGATATAAATGTGTGGCAATACTGTATCACAAAATGAACTTCTAATCAAAACAATCATCAAATGATTCACCAGGGCAAAGAGGGTTCTTTCATAATCTAAGAGTGAGTGAGTTTGGAGTAGCGCTGCTTTGAACAGTATTCCAGATATATCACTGCATGTCAACTTAATGTGGGAGGGAAGCCCAAAGTGATGCAGGTCTCAGATCTTTACCACTTTGGTGAAACCAACAGGTATATGACAAAAAGAAAAAAATATGAAAAATAATTGGGGAAATCGGGATTCAAACCCACAATCATAGGTTTCTCTGCACAGCAAACTGCACTGACTCAAACAACTGTGCCACCCATGCCCCCCACTATCTAAGAATAGAACAAACAACTTCTTTAACATCACAATTTATGCATGTTACATCCAGATTAATATATTTTGTTGTCTTTAATACAATTGTAGCCAAAATTTGACAAAAGTAAAATTGAAATTGTGTCTGATTGAAAATATGCTAATTTAAACATCTTTTTGCTTTCATATTTGCTTGTATGTTTATTTTATGTCACATATTATCTTAATTTGTATCTTGTTTCTTTGCAGATTTACAAATATCATTAGTAAAACAAGAAAGAAAATTGGTCTTAAATCTTTGATAGGCATCTGGAAAAACATGACACCTTCAAAATTGTTCTTGACAACCACTGTTTTGCATTGTTCTTGTCACTACAATGGAATAATGTAAGGCTATAACAAGATTACAAAAGCTGTCTTTTGTAGAATTTATACCATAAAATGTTGTGCTAATTCTGGACATATAATCTTCCATTCCTGGCTACATCTGATGCTTAAACTCTGAATATAAAAGGGGGTCAGAATAATCACCATCACGGCACTAAAAAAAATCTGACCAAAAATTATGGACAATAGCTGTCCATAGAGGAGGACATAATTACAAGAGGGCATTTACCATGACTTTTACAACAACCAGTCATCTGAAGATCCTATAGTAACACCATTTACGAAGAAAGATTCACTACAAAGCACAGCTGGATAAAGGTCCGACCTTGATTAATTCCATTTACTGCATGCATGCCCACATTATTTATTTAGATCAATATACATCTGTTCCACCTTCCCCCTTTGCTGTGAATCATGCCATAAGAGCAGATTTAGTAACAGTAAAGATACAATATCATAAAGAAGCCCCTGCCCGAGCATCAATCACCCATCTGCAAGATCACACAACAAAGTCTTAATCACTGAACCCAACAATGCACGCCAAATGAGCAGAAAATGACAATCCCCCCTGCACTACCATGAATACTGAAACAAGGGAGATCAAAGCCCACCGGAACAATCTCTCGTATACCGCCAAACAATAAATATCAATACCAATATCTCTTCCTCAAACAGACCGAGATGCTTGACCAGGCAGACCTAAAACAAGCCTAGGTGCTATCAGTGAAATCAAAGCCTGATTGTGGCGTGAAGCTCCATGTGCAGAGGCTGATACCCTGCTGACAATGTGCCGGCCAATAGGGGGTGTTTAAGCCTACAAGGCCGGGACTACCCGTTCAAGAATAAGCCTGCCATCTGTCCCTCCCTCTACCCTGCAACCACCTGTTTAGTTTCTCCAACCTGTTAACACAGGTTAATGTCCTTAACGGATGGATTTGTCCTTCAAGGGATAGATTTCACCCAGCTTCTTTGGGGACTTGAACACGGTATTGTTTAGCAACTGCTGCATGTGTTTTCAAATTTAAGGTCAAATGAAAGTTTAACAGAGGGCAGTGCAGGACACGGAAGCAGAATATAGTCATCTTTGACAAGCCATGAGGGGGTCTTTCTTCTTGTGTTCAGGCCTTAACAATGGTCTGCTTAATTACTATTATACGACCTTCACTCCTTTTACAACGACCCATGACATTTTATAATGAATCGTTAAAAAAATGAAAAATTAACCACTTTTATTAAAAAGATTCATGAAAAAAAAGATTAGCTTGATTAAAAAAAACTCTTTTCTCAATGACATTCTGGAAAGTTATTATAACCATATACTTCTTTTCAACCTAATTTCAGCTTGTTTATATCTGATTCAAAAATTAAATGTTCTTCAAGGATATAATAACCTGCATATAAATATCTTGACTAAATTTCTTTGTTCAATCAATATAATGAAAGATAATGAAAAGGATTAAATTTTCTCTTTGTTCTCATGCCTACTGTCAGTTAAATAAAAATATTCGTCCTTGACCATGTAATGCTACTGAATATTCATAATTGCCCAAGAAAAATATTCCATTGCAATCATTAAAAAAAATTAAATGAGAAAAACGGCTATGAATAGCTAAAAACACTTGTCTTTCATTAAGCATTTTAAAAGGAAAACAATTTTGACATCTACAATTTGGTCTTTGTTTCTTGCTTTAGAATACCGAAAATGAAAAGTACTGTTAATTGCCTGAGACAAGAAATTTGCAGTTGTGACATTTAAAACAAAAGCACTTTATCTAATGGTCCAGTAAAAAGAAATGACATCTACATAATTCCGCAAAAGCAATGGTCCATTGTGATTGAAATGACTAAACAATGACAGACCATCTCAGGCAAAGGTTCTGCCCCACAACGGTCATCAATCAGCACAATGACTATGGAGGGCTCATCTCAATCTACTAATGGTGATTCCACTGATCTCCCAGCCTCCTAGCAAGGTGATCTCCATGATCTCCCGATCTCCCACAATCTGTCAACACTCTAACTTCTTCAGCCACAGGTCTTGGCCTTGTTAGTGCCCATCAAATGATCTAAGATCGCCTCAAATCATCAAAGTCCATCAGACAATCTCCGATCCCTTAGACTGAGCCGTCGTGCACATGGAGTTGGGGATGCCATAAATAAACCCTCCAGGGGGGAGCACCAACTGAGGCCCCCTGAGCAACAATCAAAACCCACAAACTTGTAGCTAGCCCAAATTAGATGCTATTTGTGAAACAATAGCATAATTAAATCACAGTGACCACTCAGTGACCAAAGGGAGACCAGCCACCTGTCAGGCCATTTGCGGCACATTTAACAGTTAACTGAATTAGTGAAGCAATTTATTAGCAGCACTGGTCAACAAAGTCGTGAGCAAGGGGGAGACTGATTCAATTGAGCAACATCTGACAAGAAAAGATTAAAGGCGCCGCCATCAAGCAGTTTGTAATCTCTGGGAAATGGCCATGAAATTGACACTGAAAATCGTCCAAATCTTGGACTACTCACAAAAGACAAGGCTTTGTCATAATTAGCCCCATTTAGTCATGAATCAAACTTAATAGAAACAATTGAACTTTGAATAAATATTTATACCAAGTATAGATTAATAATTCAACAATTAACTTTCAAGTTAAGCCAGTAAGTTTCCATGGACAAAACAACGCCTGTAACAGAAAGAGAGAAAAAATCAACATAATTTTCTTATTCCCCCAGGCATGAACAGATCTCTCATTGGTTGAAATATCTTTAACCTTTTCTAAAATTCAAATGAAAATAGGGTTTAATGAAACTAAAACATGTTTGTGTAAAAAAGAACTCGATGAAAATAATATTAAAAATGCAAATTTACAACAAAAATCAAGATAATATAGAGTTTCCAGTACATGGCAACTGTTTCATCAGGACAGAAAAAAATGTAATTGCAATGGATGGACTAAATCAAGGCATATCTCTCTTGCTGCACAATAGGGAAAAGAGTTCTTTGTGTCTGTCAGATAGCGCCTATGGCAATAACCTTTCGGGGTGTACATCAATATCATCCTGTAAATTCATAAACCAGATGCCATAAACACAACCCTATTAAAACATAATATGATTTGCATGATAAAAATCCAAAAGCATTCATGTGAAAAACACATAATTACACGATCATCTTTCAACCAACAATTCCCTCCTCCGAGCATCCACTTGGCTGCCTCTTCTGCATCATATTCATAAACAAACGAAAATTCAAATTCAAATTTCAATCAGTAACAGTTTTCCAGTTCAGAACTCTAATGACCTCATGATAAGGTCTCCTCAACCCCTCAAGGACCAGTCTGACCTTAAAATAGCCGATTACAATAGCTTGACCCTGCCACAGCACATTACCAGAGGAGTGTGCTTGTTATTTCAACGCATGATGTAAAGAGTAAGGGTCAGGCCCAGTGTGACCACCTGTCCAGTGACCTCTTATTTTCCTCAGGATAATTAAATAATAATTCTCTTTCTAAAACGCAGACAAAATCATTCTGCCACTACCCCACTCCATGGTCACGTATGAAAAACCTGTCCGATCATATTAAGACCCTCCACTGCTCTCTCCTCACGATTGATAAAGAAAGAGTAATTAACCACGTTAATAGAAGTTCAAGTTACAAGTTCTTAAAAGCGAACTAACTCAATTACTTACTAACCATTCAATGCAATGACTGTGATTTCAAGGCTAGCTTGTAAATTGGATTATTCAAATTGGTGAAATTTGCATAAATGCTATTATTTAGAAATTAACTCATTGGACATCTGATAACGCCATCAGCAAACTTACTGACTGACTGATACAATGTTGTTTGAGGTTTTATTTTTTCAGTTTTTTTCAATATTATTTCCTTGAAGATTTTAAATAAATATCATGGCTTCATTTGTAAGAGGCCAAACATTTCTAAATTTCTTAAACACAATCAGTTTTAATCAATAAAAGTAAAAAGAAGTTTTTCGACAATAATTATTTTGACAGCTAAAAAAGAATTGCTGTTTTAACCATGTAATTTATTGATCTTGAACAAACGAAGAGCAAAACTATTGTCTTTCTTTTTTCTGGGACATGTTTA